TGATAAGATTTCCTTAGCCAACTTAATCCACCGTCTTCTACTACTGAAACTAAATTCCAATTTTAAAAGTTAGTTGTACTTTTAATGTGATTACCACAGAATTAATATTTATTGCTTCTATGATGACTTCTGAAGTATGTAATTAAATATTTTTCTTTGAATATATAAAAACCATAAGCACATTTAAAAGTCAACGTATACCTGGTTGCCTATATACAAGAGTACTTCAAAAAGTTCATGGAAAAATAAAATTGAAAGGTAATATGAATCTTCCCATTAACTGTTTGAAGTGTACCCTTGTTATGCAACATACAGAGTTTTATCACTATGAAGAAGGAAAAGATAAATAAAACTACTCTCAAGAAAATTCCAATCTAAGAGAATAAGGATAAAAGAATATAAATAATTACAATGAAGATAATATGTGATAACTATTTATATTAAAAAAATGTAAAGGGTTATAGAATGTGAGAAAAGTGAAGAATTATTTGTACCTGGGAGGTCAGGGAAAAATCCATAAACCAGGCTCAGGAAAATGAGTCAGATTTCTACTAAAAAAGATAAGAGTAGAGAGGACATTCCCAGAAATAAATAAGGAATAAAGGCACATACAGAGATGGGAAAAAGAAACCTCAGATGCAGCACAAAGAACAAAGAAGTTTATGGAAGATAATGCTGAAATGTATGTTAAAACAAATTATCCTACTTTAGTCATGATTACCATCATGAATAGCGGAATACCTTCAACAAAATTTATTTAGCTGCTTATATTTCCTTCTGTACACATCATACTTTTGATATGTATAAAAAGAAAATCTAATCAACTGCCTAAATTAAAATTCTGTTCCTGATTTTCCTTGCCCAAAAACAGGACACTTTAAGATTACCCCAACTACATAACCAACAAAAATGGACCCATGCAGACTCCAAAAGGCATGTACAAGAATGTTCACAGCAATAATCTCAACCTGTAAACAACCCAGGAAATGTCTACCGTCAATAGAAATGATACATAGAGTGTGATATATTCCTAAAATAGACTATTATATAGCAAGGAGAATGAAGGAACTACAACTATACACAACAATATGGATGAATCTCAAAATGTGGGCAAAGGAGAACATAACTGATTTTTGGTGCTGGAAACCAGGACAGTGAAAACCTTCTGGTGAAAGGGTAGTAACTAAATGGTCCACAAATGGGGCTTCTGGGTTGCAAAGACAAGAGTACATCAAAAAGTTCATGGAAAGATTCGTATCATCTTTCAATTTTATTTACCCATGAACATTTGGAAGTAACCTCATAATATTGTATCTCAAACTGTGCACTGATTACACAGATGTTTTCACTTTGTGAAAATGATCAGTCTGAGGTACACTTATTTAAGTTTACTTCTTTAAGTTTACTTAAAGAACAGATTTTTCAATCCTTAAATTAATTATGTTCAAACTAATTCTATTCCCTCATTCAAATCTCAAAAGTTTATCTTTACTAAGCAATCTCTTCTAAGTTAATGTGTCCTTTCTTTACAGGTTTAAAATAGTAGGCATTTCAAAACCTAGATCTCTAGTTAACTGAATGATTTCACTTTTCATTCAAAACCTTATTTTACTCTTGCTCTTTCATTCTTATTTATATAGTCTATGGATTCAAAATTAACAGTGGAGCTAATCAAGGAACTTGGGCTAAATCTGTCATTTACACAGTGATATGTAAAAGAAACCCATAGAAGTTAACACCTATATTAATGTCCCAGGTATATAATTAAATTGTTTATTCCATAGAATTATCTGTAAAACTAATAAATGCTGATGATCACAGTAAAAATTTCCTGAATAATCACCAAGATATTAATATAGCTCAAAGAAAAAAATATCAGAGGAAAAGACTGCTTTTATTCCTCTACGTTGACATTTATGAAGGAAATTTAACAGGAATAAAAATTTTCAGCCAATTCAATCGCAAGTTAAATCCACAATTTTAGAAATATTTATATAATAATGTCATTTTTAGTTGATAATATGTTCTATTTCAACAGTCCTATTAATCTTATAATTAAAGAGGGCAATGATGAAGTATTTTTAATAAGAGCAATCACTGAATGTAATACTCAAAAAGCAAACAAAAAAATACCAACTTGCAGCACCATCCTGAAATTCAATCAACAAATATTCAATGAATATTTACTATAAATGTGATAACTTGTAAAACATAGTAGGAAGTAAGAACGTAAAGAAAATACAGTCCTAGTCCTCTATGCGGAGACAAAGATATATCAAATAATTATAGTAAATTCACTGGCATACTGCTTTTGAGGTATACCTGTATCTCAAATCTGTTTTTTATAATAAGTCAAAAATTAAGAGACNCCTGGCCACTCTAAGCCTTAGTTTCCTAAGCTATAAAATTAGGATAACAATAACATATACTCTGCTCTCCTCACATGGTTGCTATGAAAATAAGCTAATGTATAAATATGCCATGTAAACTCTAAATTGTACAAATACTCCCATTACTAAAATATGATTTAAAATAATTGTGTATGAGCTCTGAAAATGGTTTACTTACCTTTCCACCTAATTTTCTAAGAAAGAAAAGATTAACAAATTTTCTTGAAAATATGGTACCTTAATCATTACAAAAACACTTGATAAAACCTTCTCAAAACATTTAATCATAGAACAAGTACTTGACCTCATCATCATTATTGAGTATTTACTATATTCCTGATACAATGGTAAAAGATTTTTCTCATGTAATCTTCACAATAATTACATAACATAGGTACCATCCTTATTCCCTATTACAGACGAATAAATTGGGCTCAGCAAGGTCAGGAAACTTTTCCAAAATCAAAAGCTAATACGTGGAAATGCCAAAATTCTAGTCACCTCTACCTCCTTACTACTATGTCACCTCTACCTCCTTAATACTAGTGCTATACTACTTTAAAGTGCCTAACAGTTTCAGTCGTATCATTAATCTAAACAGAATGATACCACTATTTGCATATGCAGAAAAACCTGCAGATCATTTTTTAAAACTTAATTTCAACTCTGGGATCTGAGTCTTTGACAGAAGCTGTCATTTTTCTTCATTCTAAATAAATACAATATTGGAAAGGGAAGTGGTGAAATCATGATGTGAAGGTGAAAGGGAGAAAGGCCCTCTAAAAGCTTTACGGGAGGTCATTTTCCTCCTAGTATCTTTGATTCCGCTGTTTCAGCCAGCTTAAAGATATTATCTAAGGTGGAATTTGGGGTCTTCTCTACTCAATGAAGTTAAGAACCTGTTGACTACAAATATTGGGCTTCTCAATTCTAGGTTTTCCCCAAAGATGAATCTATTGACTGCCCTCTGCCAAAAGGGTTGGTAAAAGCTTAGCTCATAAAATCAGCCCTACATACTAATGGGTCACTGAGCTAACTTACTGCTCCCCAGACTTTTTTTTAAGTTCCTCTAAAACAATACAGATACCCCTCGACTCATGATGGGTAATCCAGATAAACCCATGGTAAGCTGAAAATATCATAAATCAAAAATGCATTTAATACACCTAACCTACCAAACACCAAAGCTTAGCCTAGCCTACCTTAAACATTCTCAGAACACTCATATTAGCCTACAGTTGGGCCAAATCATCTAACACAAGGCCTCTTTTATAATAAAATGTTCAATATCTCATGTAATTTATTGAATACTGTACTGAAAGCGAAAAACAAAATGGTTGCATGGGTACTTAAAGTACATATCACTTTTGCACCACTGTAGAGTGAAAAATAAGTTGAACCATCATATACTGGGGACTATCTGTATTTCAAAAAGAACTTTAGGGCCGGCCCGGTGGCGCACTGGATAGTGAGCCACTTGGGAAGCGCGGCGGTGCTCCCGTCCGAGGGTTCGGATCCCACGTGCAGACCGGCTCCCNAAAGAATAAAGAGGGGAAAAAAAAATCAATAGGAAGAACAAAATCACATCCAAAGGGTCTGTAAGCAAGAATTTCTACTAACTACATGGTAAAAAATATAGCCTTCTACTAAAGAATTTAGAGTGACTAACCCTAGACTCGGAATCAGAAGATCTGATCTAGTATTACTCCCATGACTACAGGCAAATTACCTGGCCACTCTAAGCCTTAGTTTCCTAAGCTATAAAATTAGGATAACAATAACATATACTTTGCTCTCCTCATATGGTTGCTATGAAAATAAGCTAACGTATAAATATGCCATGTAAACTCTAAATTGTACAAATATTCCCATTACTAAAATATGATTTAAAATAATTGTGTATGAGCTCTGAAAATGGTTTACTTACCTTTACACCTAATTTTCTAAGAAAGAAAAGATTAACAAATTTACTTGAAAATATGGTACCTCAATTATTACAAAAAAACTTGATAAAACCTTCTCAAAACATTTAATCACAGAACAAGTACTTGACATCATCATCATTATTGAGTATTTACTATATTCCTGATACAACAGTAAAAGATTTTTCTCATGTAATCTTCACAATAATTACATAACATAGGTACCATCCTTATTCCCTATTACAGACGAATAAATTGGGCTCAGAAAGGTCAGGAAACTTTTCCAAAATCAAAAGCTAATAAGTGGAAATGCCAAAATTCTAGTCACCTCTACCTCCTTAATACTAGTGCTATAATACTTTAAAGTGCCTAACAGTTTCAGCCGTATCATTAATCTAAACAGAATGATACCACTATCTGCATATGCAGAAAAACCTGCAGATCATTTTTTAAAACTTAATTCCAACTCTGGGATCTGAGCCTTTGACAGAAGCTTTCTGTCATTTTTCTTCATTCTAAATAAATACAATATTGGAAAGGGAAGTGGTGAAATCATGATGTGAAGGTGAAGGGGAGAAAGGCCCTCTAAAAGCTTTACGTGAGGTCATTTCCCTCCTAGTATCTTTGATTCCGCTGTTTCAGCCAGCTAAAAGATATTATCTAAGGTGGAATTTGGGGTCTTCTCTACTCAATGAAGTTAAGAATCTGTTGACTATAAATATTGGGCTTGTCAATTCTAGGTTTTCCCCAAAGATGAATCTATTGACTGCCCTCTGACAAAAGGGTTGGTAAAAGCTTAGCTCATAAAATCAGCCCTACATACTAATGGGTCACTGAGCTAACTTACTGCTCCCCAAACTTTTTTTTAAGTTCCTCTAAAACAATACAGATACCCCTCGACTCATGATGGGCAATCCAGATAAACCCATGGTAAGCTGAAAGTATCATAAATCAAAAATACATTTAATACACCTAACCTACCAAACACCAAAGCTTAGCCTAGCCTACCTTAAACATGCTCAGAACACTCATATTAGCCTACAGTTGGGCAAAATCATCTAACACAAAGCCTCTTTTATAATAAAATGTTCAATATCTCATGTAATTTATTGAATACTGTACTGAAAGTGAAAAACAAAATGGCTGCATGGGTACTTAAAGTACATATCACTTTCGCACCACTGTAAAGTGAAAAATAAGTTGAACCATCATATACTGGGGGCTATCTGTATTTCAAAAAGAACTTTCTATGTCTACAGTTGCTATTAAATAAATTTTTCATTGAATTATCAATGCAGCACTTAATAGGCATATAAGATTTTTTAAGTATGTTTAAAATTATGTATGCTAGGGCCGGCCCATGGCTCACTTGGGAGAGTGTGGTGCTGATAACACCAAGGCCACAGGTTCGGATCCCTATATAAGGATGGCCGGTTGCCTCACTTGGGAGAGCGTGGTGCTGACAACACCAAGTCAACGGTTAAGATCCCCTTACTGGTCATCCTTTAAAAAAAAGAAAAAAAAAATTATGTAGCTTATGTGACACAAATATTTTGTCTCCATCTGCTGGAAAATAACAGTACTCTCCTAAGATCAATACAAATTTTAAGAATGCTGGCAAAGTAGGAATTTCTGAAGATATGAAACTATATCTTTAATGTTTATACATTATTTTCATGAAATTTCTCAGACTTAAAATTTTTATATCTTATTACAGAATGTAACATACCAAAAGCATTATTATATCCTCAAAGAATCATACTTTGCATTAATCCATGTAAATCAGAAATTCATTTATGAAAACATGATCAACATAAAAATGCATATTTAATCATCTCTGCTCCCAAATACACCATAATTAAAATAATCTTCTCAAGTACTAATAACTTAAGTAAGGCTTTAAAAGACGGTAAACATTTTATCAATGCTTTGCCTTATGTAAACTCAGATCATTCCCTCAGGAACACCAAGTTATCAGAAATGCCTATGTGTTTACAACCAAAATATAGGAATACCTTTAATAAGTGATGATACACTACAGTCTTCTGGTGGAAGACCTGTCCCACCATCCTTCCAGAATGGATTCAATTCTCTTTCCAGCAGTTTGGACTAGAAAAAAACATTTTCAAAAGTCAGAATTTAAAAATAAATCCATCAAAAAATATACTAATAATTAAACTGAGATGCAGTTAACAGTTGTAACCCTGTACAAATCATTTAAAACACTCTTAAGACACGCTGTTCTGTAACTTGCAGGAAATAATGTCTAAATTCACATTCATTCAATGTTTTTATTCAATGTCTACCATGTCTCAGAATTGTGCTACATGTAGAAGATGTAACTGTCAATAATTCTGACTCAGCCCTTGGTAGCTTGGGATATAGTGAGAAAAACAGAGAATAAATAAGTAATTGATAAGTGCTTTGAAGATAGACACACAGAGTGCTAAAGCCACACAATGAATTCAAACCCCTCTCACACTGAAGGGTCAAAGCCTTCCAAGAAGAAATAATATATACAGTCTTAGACCTAAGGATGGGTAGAAATTAGCTAAGTTTTCTTTTTTTTTTTTAAAGGCCGGAGGGACATAAAGATGTTCCAGATAGAAATAATAATAGCATGTTCATGAAACCCTAGAGAAAGAGAAATCACAGCACTCTCAGAGAACTTAAAGGAATTCAGACTGGCTAAAACTTAGAAGTATGAGTAAGTAGTGACAAGCCATTAGATTGTAGAACAATCAAGGACTAGGTCACATGAGTCATTTTGAATTGTTCTGGAGGCTTTATGCTGGGGGCAATGGTGACTCATGAAAGTGATCAGCTTGTATCACACAAACTGCAAACTTTTCTGTGTGGAAAAAACCGTGGAAAAGAGCAAGATTAGAGACACGATCCAGTCAGAAAATGGTGGCAGTAATCTAGGCAAGAGATGATGGTAACCTAATCACAACCCCAGTGCTTCCTGCATTCCATGCACTACGCCAGGCACTGGGCTATAATGAATAAGGTGGGCATGGTCCTTGCCATCAAAGAAATTACGGTCTAGAGAAGGGGGAAAGACAATTAACCAACATTAACATAGATAAGTGCTATAAAAGTAAAGGGTGCTACAGAACTACCTTCTAATGATATCTAACTTGACCTCAGGGGGTGAAAAAATGCTTCCTACAAGAATAATGGCAACAGGATGGAGAGAGAAGGAAAGTGTTAAACATTAGCACCTTCAGTTTCCAAGAGTATGAACCAACCACACTATTGAAAAGAAAAATGTTGGATAAAATGTTTAAAGAAAAAGCTTTTTAAATATATCTACGAGCTGACAAAAAAGACTCTTCAAAGGACAAAATTTAAGTTAATGTTTAACTTGGAGGTTTGATCTCTTACAGTAGTTTGTAGCAAGAAAGGTTCTGTCACCTGCTTTGTTAATTTACTACAAAATCTCTCAGTATCTATAATTAACGAATTTCTTCCAATGGTCTTATCTAAACACTCAGATACACAGCAGATACTCAACAAGATAAAAAAAAAAAAAAAAGCTAGATTACATACTGAGGAGAACTGACAAGAGGCCAGACAAGTTGTGAGATACTATCTGAAAATGTATGAGACAAGGACTAAATATATAAGAACTTCTACAAATCAGTAAGAAAAAGACAAAATGAACCTAACAGAAAAGTAAGCAAAATCATAAACAAGCAGTTCACAGTACAAGAAATCTGAATGATTAAAATGCATGAAAAGATCTCTTGCAGTAACCTGAGAAAAACAATAAAATGCCATTTCTCACCCATTAATTAATCTGGCAAAAATTTTAAAGTTTGACAATTATAGGTACTTAGTACTGGAAAAGAAACACATATTGCTGGGGCAGTACCAAACTGTTGTATCTAAGGTCCTTCATTGTAGCACTGTTTGTAATAGTGAAAAACAGTAAACAATGTAAGTGTGCATAAGTAGAGGAATAGATATTTACAGTGTGGCATAGTAAGATGATGAAACACTATACAGTAATGAAAAAGAATGAAACAAATAAAATATGTCAAAGTGAATCGATCTCTAAAACATGTTCAGGTCTTCTAGTCAAAATGGCTTAGTAAGATTCCACTTCATCACAATCTCCATGCTCTGAACAAATAGAAGAGATATACACAATATAAAACATACTTGAGTTCAAAATAAGATAACTATCTCTGTGGACGAGAAACAGAAGAGACTTGCAAAGCAGTAAGCAGGACTGAAGCCATAGGTCTACTGGGCCCTGTGTGCAAGCAGAAAACAATAGTTCTGCATTCAATTTGCATAAGATAATAAATACTAAAAGTGCTCCAGTTAAGACAGAAGAATGGAGCCAGTCTCGCCATATAAAGCCAAGAACTGGGGTAAGGAGATCTGCTTTTGAAAGAAGGCTGAAGAATTGGTATAAGGTACAGACTGGGTCTGTTGATAAGTGCTATAGTTCTATAGCATTTAGCCCAATGCATGCATAAGAACAGAAGAGGACACAGACACAGCCTCAAGCACTGGCTTTCAAACTTTTCTGTGACCCTGACCCATAGCGAAAGATAGCATGAGTGTGCGTGTGTGTCCAAAACAAAAGTTTAAGGAAACAAAATACACCTTTATTACATGTAATACATAGCTGGTATTTTATAATTTTAAGTGCTGATAGCAATAAATTAATTTCATGACCAATATTTTGAAAAACACTAGCCTAGAATACCAAAGAAATGATATCCCCAATATCAAGAGGAGATATATAATCAGTGTGCTCCCACCACCTGACAAGACAGGCAAGTTTTCTTGCCTTCAACTGGATTTTTCCTCAAATTCATCATTTCCTCAACTTCATCCTTTCATTAAGGGTATATTCCTCAAATTCATCATTTCCTCAACTTCATCCTTTCATTAAGGGTATATTCCTCCAGGGTCCCAGATTTATAGGGGTTCATCAATCAGGTTTTCCCATCTCATGCAGGCTCTTGACATTATGTCCTATCCCCAAGGACCCATTAAAATTGAAATTCAAGATTATCAGGATTGTGTGATGCCACCTGGAAAGCCACCAGCTTCAGCACGTCCTTACATGCTTATTTTATATTTTATCCCGAATTTTTAGGTGTCTTGAAATTAAAGCATTCTTATGGTCTCTAATTCAGCATGTACACTGAAACAGAAGATGAAAGGGTTCACTTTTAATACAATATTAACCTAAAGTCAATATTCATTCAACTATATATATGTCCTAGATTTATTAATCTAGTATACCTTTAAACTGGCTTCCTATGGGAAACTTATTTTAACAAAATATATCCCATTTCATAGCTGTTCTCACTAATTGTATTAAAAACCACAAAACATAAAATAATATTTTACAAGTAAAATTGCATTTATATAAATGTCTTAGTTTATTAAAGGCAAATTAGAAAGTTAAAGCATTTTAAATATTCTCTTACCTGTTCAAGTGCTTGGGTTTTCTCTTGTTCTATTTTCCTTATAGTTTCCTTTTCAGCTTTGAGTGATGATGATGACACAGTTTTAACAGACATAAAATCAACAGTCATCCACTCATCCCTCTGTTGAAAAAAGATGACCATTTCAGGCTAAATTGATTAGAACTTAATAAACACTTTGCTCTAGGGTTTAGGCACTCACACCTGGCTCAAATCCTGTATGGCTGTATAACTTAAGGCGAGTTTCTTAATCTCTCTAGGCCTTAGTTTCTCCCCTGTAAAATGGGATAAAATATCTATCTTTCAGGACTGTTTTAAGGAGAAAACAAGAAAATGGATATAAAGCATCCAGCTCAGTGCTTGGCACACAACAAGCAAACATTAGTTCCTTTCACATTTCTTCCTTCATCTGTGTCTAACAGTGGATATATTACATTCTTCCTTAGGCATATAAACTATAACCCAAAATCTGTGAACTACTCAACTGTAAGCATTGCTAAGAAAATTACAGCATGAGGTGAAAGGAAAGAAAAACTATTTTTGAATTCTACTCACTGTAGAAGGTTCAGATAAAGTAACAGTACAAGGCTTCACATACATAAAAGGAAAGTGCCACTTCCCTCTCAACAACCAGAAGCAAGAAAACCTCTAAGGGACTATGACAGAAACGAACACTCACTCTCTCATAGCAGGAGGAGGAGGGGAGTCCAAACACTAAGCAATCAGCGCTACTGCCAAATTATTCATAAAGTACACTGTTTTCAAAGTTAACTTTCTACTGAAGAAATTAGAATAATCTTTCATTTTGACATTCATCTATTCTTAGAAGTTGACACTTTTTAAAAATCAGGTGACTTGCTTACCTGAATAACTTGATTGTCATCTTCTTTTTCAGACTTTTCATCTTTCACTTTCCAGGCCTTTCCCTTGCCAGGAGTCTGGGATGGAACAGCCTCAACCCACTCATCTTCAGAGCTCTAAGAATATTTAGCACATGAGAAAAATTTTCAAATTTGAATATTTTCATATAAAACTTCTGTGCTATTGTTAAGGGGTAGAAATTCAGCTTTCCATAGAAAATCCTGACACTGTATCTCTCCTTTAAAAAATGACATTGAAAATTTAAGAAAGAACATGTAAACCCACTACTTTGGGTTAAGGCCACAAAACACAACCAAATTATTTCTATTTTCTTATAAGTTTATTATCAAGACAAGGGAAAGCAAAAAACAAGACTTAGAACTGCTATACAGAGAACTCACTTCAGCACAGAGCTTCAGTTTCTACCAACATCAAGAGTACTCACATCTTTGCTTCTCTAGAATAGAGGAAATGACACTGAAGTTAATAAGTTTGCAGTTTGCCCCTAAGTTTCAAATTTTGGGATTTCTCTGGATCTAAAAATGCAGAGATTTCAGGTAACAACTAGTAAGGTATTTTGCTAACTGTGTTTAAATACCACATTATTAAATCAACTGAGAAGTATTTAGTCAACATCCCCTATGTGCTGATCATTATGCCAGGTTTTGGGGTTTGTTTTCAACAAATCTATCAGTGTACTCTTCTATGTCAAGTACGGCATTAAATACTTTCACACATATTATCACACTGAATTCTTATCACAACACTGTAAAGTATTTTTTTCATTTTATAATAAGGAAAGCTCCCCCAAATTAAGTAATTTGCCGAAGTTACATGGTATACAAGTGTGAGAACCCAGTTAGGAATCTAGATCTGTCTGGCTCTAAAATCTATTATATATTCTTTGGAGCTATAGAACGTAAGTGTAGCAGAGATCCTAGAAATCACCTAGTACAAACCACCTGTTAATGTACAGCTGAGAAACTTCTAGGCCAAGAAAGGAAAAATTGAGTGAATACCAAGGCAAACAGTAGAATCTGGGTTTCCTGAATGAGACAAATATTCTTCCATTCTGCAAAGTTCTTGAAAACTACCTAAAGTGTTCTTTGACTACAGAACATAAATACACCTGTCAAAAGGTATAATCCACATGGAGTAAACATATTTGCGCTCTGTCACCTCAGCTGCCAACTGTTTCCCATAGCAAAGCAGACTTTATTCACTCATTCAGGCCTTGATTTGGACTTATAGAAACCTTACAACTAGTTATTTATATTTATAGTTACAATTTTTTAAGATAATCACTATAAATGTATTTCTGATCTACCCATGGTCAAATCAATTTAGAGATACCTGGTTCCTAATTCTTGAGGTCACCACTAAACAGGGTAGTATAATCTAAAAAAAAAAAAAAGTACTTTCTTTGTGATAGTGCCAATTTGCTAAGATCAAATTAAAATAATTAAAAAGTTGGCATTCCACAGGACTCTGCCATAGGCCTTCTTCCATAACTACAGATTTTCACTATCTTACAAGCTGTTGACCAACCACTTGCAATTCATTAACTGGAGCCACCAGTTGCTTCATCATGACAGCTGCAACCAGTCTCCAGCTCTGGATAAATCCAATCACCATGATCTGCAACTTCAGTTAAGCTAGACTCTGCACCCCAAGTAGAATTCCCCTTGCTGGTCCTTGGTCAGTTCTCTCTTCTATTCTCTTACGACTTTCCTTTAAAGCATTAATCATTTTTACATTCATTTATGTGACTATTTGATTAATATCTCACTCTCACACTAAGCTGTAAGTTTAAAGGAACCATCTGCTTTTGCATACTTTGTGTCTCCAAGCACATAGCTTAATACATTGGCAAATATCATTACCTTCTTCAACACCCTCCTCAAGCTTTCTACCAATGCCCATTCCCCATAAGCTCAGCAAATGATCTCTCCTCTTACCTTATCAAGAGAAATGAGGCTACCTTAGCTTCCTGCCAATCTCCAACAAAATTATTTATGGCTGCACCTATCCTTACCTCCTCTTAACTCGTCCTTTTCAAGGCAGGTCCTCCTCCAAAGATTTTGATCGCAACCATTCCTGTTCCTCTAAAACCTTGATCCATCAATTATCTCCTTCTCTTATAGCTTCAACCAAAGATCTCTAATGGACTCGAAATATGCTCAAGCATTTTTTTTTTTTGAAGCGTTAAGGGGGGAACTTCCTTGACCCTATGTATCGCTCTAGCAGGAATCCATCTTCCAACTTCTATTCTCAGACAAACTTCTTGAAAGAGTAGTATACATCTACTGCCTTCACACCATCACTTTCATACATTTCTCAAAACTCTATAACTATTGTCCCCATTAATCTACTGAAACTTCTTCAAAGTTCACCAATTGTTTCTATTATGCCAATTCAACAAAATGTTACCATCTTTATCACCCTAGACCTCTCTGCTGAAGACAACAATGACGACAACTCACTTTCTTGACTTCCAAGACACTTTCCTCTTTTCCTCCCACTCTTTTTTGTTGGTTTTTTTTTTTTTTTTTTTTTTTTTTGTCGTTTTTGTGACCGGTAAGGAGATTGCAACCCTTGGCTTGGTGTCGCCCGCACCGCACTCAGCCAGTGAGCGCACCCGCCATCCCTATATAGGATCCGAACCCGCGACGGGAGCGCAGCTGCGCTCCCAGCACCGCACTCTCCCGAGTGCACCATGGGGTCAGCCCTCCTCCCACTCTTTGTTTCTTCTCCATTTCCTTCATGCTCTCTAACTCCTATAAACCTAAGTCTGTATCTAGTAATAGTACCATTAAAAAATGAAGATGAAATAAAAGAAATTTCCAGGCAAACAATAGCTGTGTTTACTGTCAGCAGACCTATACTATCACAAATATTAAAAGAAGTTCTACAGGCAGAAGGAAAATTTTATTAGACAGAAATTCAGACCTACACAAAATAATAAAGAATGCCAGAGATCATAAATCTATGGGTAAATATAAAAGACATGTATAACTTATTTAAAAGATAATTGGGTATGTAAAGTAAAAATAATAACAATATATTATGTTAAAAGTTATAAACTATGGGGCCGGCCTGGTGGCGCACTGGAGAGTGTGCCGCTTGGGAGCGTGGCGGTGCTCCCGCCAAGGGTTCGGATCCCATGTAGAGACCGGTTCCCGCTCACTGGCTGAGCACAGTGCGGGCGTGGCACCGAGGGTTGCAATCCCGTTGCCAGTCCCCAGTACGGGCGCGACACCGAGGGTTGCGATCCCATTACCGGTCAGTAAAAAAGACAAAAAGGAAAAAAAAAAAAAGTTATAAACTATGTACAGTTTATAACACATGTAGAAGGAAAATGTATGACAACAATAGCACAGAATATGGTAGGAGGAAATAGAAGCATACTGCTCTGAAGTTCTTATTATAAATGCAAAATGATATTTGAAGGCAGAGCATAATAAGCATTTTTTAAAAATGAGGTACACCTAACCTCTTGCCATATACCAAAATCAACTCAAAATGGATTTAAGACTTATAAATATAAGACCTGAAACTTTAAAACTCCTGGAAGAAAACATAGGGGAAACACTTCAAGAAGTAAGACCAGGCAAAGACTTTATGAATAAGATCCCAAAACATATGCAACAAAAGAAAAAATTTTTAAATGGGATTATATCAAACTAAACAGCTTCTGCAGAGCAAAAGAAAAAAAAGAATAGAGTGAAAAGACAACCTACAGAATGGGAGAAAATATTTGCAAACTATGCATCTGGCAAGGGATTAATATCCGGAATATACAAGGAACTCAAACAACTTAACAGTAAATAACAGGTAACCTAATTAAAAATTGGACAAAGGAGCTGAGTAGGCATTTCTCAAAGGAAGATATACAAATGGCCGACAGACACATGAAAAAGTGCTCAACATCACCAGCATCGGGAAATGCAAATTAAAATCACACTGAGATATCATTTCACCCAGTTAAGACTCACTATTACTAAAAAGACAGAGAATAACAAATGCTGGCTAGAATGCAGAGAAAGGGGAACCCTCCTACACTGTTGGTGGGACTGTAAATTAGTGCAGCCATTATAAAAAACAGTATGGAGTTTCCTCAATTATAGATAGAACTGCCATACGATCCAGCAATCCCACTGCTGGGTATATACTGAAAGGAATGGAAACCATCATGTTGAGGGATACCTACACTCCCATATTTATCACAGCTAAGAGTTGGAACCCACCTAAATGTCCATTGACGGATGACTGGATTAGGAAAATGTGGTGTATCTGCACAGTGGAATGCTACTCTGCCATAGAAAAGAATGAAATACTGCTACTCACAGCAACATGGAGGAACTTACAGAAAATTATGCTAAGGTAAATAAGCCAGGAACAGAAAGTGAAATACCACATGTCCTCACCCACAAGTGGGAGCTAAAAAAAATAAACAAACACATAAAAAAAGAAAAGAAAGAAGGATAAAACAATCACAATAATTCGCTGAACTTTCAAAAGGAGAGAACAGAAGTGAGGCCACCAGAGGTGGGGCGGGAGGAGGTTTAGCAAGAAATTGATAAAGGGTCACAAAAAATGACTACCTTTTTTGATGTTGAATATACTAATTATACTGATTTGAACATCATGTATTGCACACAGGTACTGATATTCTACACTGTACCCCACAGATATGTACAATCAATTATGTTTCCATAAATAAATAATAATTTTAAAAAGAGGTACACCTGGTAAGCCTATAGTGGAGATGAAATGGAATAGTAAAAACCCTCAATCCAAAAGAAGGCAAGAAAAGGAGGGAGAAAAGAAATACAGAACAAATGGGACAAACAGAAAAGGAATCGCAAAATGGTAGATTTAAGCTCATCCATATCAACAATTACATTAAACATAAATATCTAAAGCAGTTCTATTCAACAGAATTTTTCTTTACCTACACTGTCCAATACGGTAGCCACTAACCTAACCATATGTGGCTACTGAGTGCTTAAAATTTGGCTAGTGAGACTGAAGAAATGAATTTTCAACCTGAAATAATTCTAATAAATTTAATTAAAAATTTTAAAAGCATACACAGCTACCATATTGGACAGAGTAAAAAACAGTCTAATTAAAATGGAAGAAACTGATAGGCTAGATAAATAAGCAAGACCCAAGTAATGTTATCCATAACAGCCCCAAACTAAAAATAACCCAATGGCTTTCAACAGATAAACGTATGAGCAAATTGTGGTATATTCACACACTGGAATACAGCAACAAAAAGAAAGGCACAACTGATAACATGCAATAACATGAATGAATCAAATAAACATATGTTGAGCCAAAGAAGCCAGACACAAAAAAGATCATATTACATAAATCAATTTATATGAAATTCTAGAATAGGAAAAGCTACAGTGTGCTAAAGTAGATTTGTGATTGCCCAATCCTGGAGTGGGGGAAGAGAAAGAGGGAAGAAAAGGGAGGTAGAAGAGAGATTTACTGCAAAGGACCACGACAATCTTTATGGGATAGTGGAAACATTCCACATCTCAGTTGACATGGAAAACAGGTGCATTCATCAAATAGTACACTTAAAATCTGAGCACTGTATTATATGTAAATTGTACTTCAATAAAGTTGATTTTAAAAGTTAAAAGAAAAAAATTAAAAGACCTTGTCAAAGCCAAGATATGTTTTTTAGCCTCACATGGATCCTCAATACTATTGAGCAATTTTTTTGCTTCTCTTTTATTATCTAAGCAAAGTTATTTCAAATTTATACCATTTCCTCAATTGTCCTTTTACTCCCAAATACCTTCTCAGATGATTTTACCTTCTACTTCACAAAGGAAACAGACAACAACAAGCAGAAACACCATCACTAATCTGCTCTCCTTCTGACCATACTGCCTCCTTATTTATCTATCTATTTTTACACACATTTTTACAACTTCCCTCCTAGCTCAGAAGAGAGGGTGCTCCTACTCCTGATCAAAGCTAACCCTTTCCCCTGGGACCTTGCTAATTAAAATTTATCATTCTCCTCAATATTTCCTCTCTCCTAAAAACATTTTCTCACAAAGACCTCCCAAAATCCCTGACTCCTCTAGCTACCCCTCTGTCTTTCCTTCCCTTCACTGCCAGTACAAGCTTCTCTTTCATTCTCCAATCCACTTCAATGTGGTATGAGCAAAGAGCATTCATTCAAACTGATCTAAGGAGTGTGTGTGTGTGTGTGTGTGTGTGTGTGTGTGTATGTTATACAACTTATTATGTATATATAAGTATACATACTATATGTTCCCAGCAAAAATATATACATCTATTTCCAGGAAAGAACTAAGGGAAAAAAATGGACAATGGGGAATAAAGTGCTCTAAATCAAATGATATAATATTTAGACAGCCTGGCAGATCCGGGGGATCTTAACCTGTAATCCTTGCATAAAGTTCAGGGAATTTTATAAACCCCACTGAAATAAACAATTTTGTATGTACATGTTTTTTTGGAGAAAGGATACAAAAAAACTTTTATCAGATTCTCAATGGAGCCAATAATCCAAACCCACAATTGTGGAAATAGTGTTCCTATCTTCTTTTCACTTCAAGATTTTTTTAACTCCCTTTGTTTTGTGTTATATTTTTAAATTTTTTCTATCTAATATAAATATCTCTACCATTACAAAATATACTGGCTAGTCTACAAGACTATCTAGTTGTATTCCTCACTATGAATTAATATACCATATTCTCATATAAGATAGGCTTTCAAGGTCAATTACCATGTCAACCATGTCAAGAACTACAGATCTCTTGGCACAAAACTCTATCCAAACTCCTCCTGCACTAGGAGACTTAACTGAACTCTAGCATGGCTACTAGCAGTATAAGACTGTGTCCCTAGGATGACCCTTGCCCCCCAGTAAAATGCTTGTCTAAGAAAGCTCAATGCTGCCAGGAAAACTTACTACCTGTTCTAGCCAACACATGATGATAGGCTCCTGATCTCCCTTTCTTAGAGCATTTACTAAAAAGAATGTACAGTTGTAAATATGGTATCTCTTAAGAACCTCAAAGCCAATCCTCTGAATGTAATTATAGGCTCTCTGTCTCCCAGTCTCTGTAGGAAGATGGAATACTAACTTTGAAAACTGCCAGCTAGCAAACACAGCTAATCAAATTTACAGTGACTAACTCTTTGTAATTTTTCACTTTTCTGACTCTACCAAGGCTTCGCTCTCCCCCATCCCTCATTTTCCCTTTAAAATACCTAAATCATCTCTGCACAAACTGAAGTGGAGCTTAGCAATTTCCCCTAATACCAGTGGTGTGGTTACTGAACAAAATCTGTTCTCACCTTTTTAACTAATAACAAGCTGTGATTATCTTTGACAGTCTACTGCCAAAGACTTAGTTTCTGAAACTACAGGTGGGCCAGACATTGAACTACGGTGGGCCAGACATTGAACTACGGTGATTCAATGAGAGGATAACCCTATGAAGATCAGACATGGGAGACCAGTCATCCATAAACATCTCTAGCTCATCACTCTCTAAGCAAAACCTTTCTTCCTGAAAAAAGTATGAAAGATTTGTCTTGTTTTCCACAGTGAGTCCTCTCAGTCCAGAACTGGTTGGTGCAGCCAGCTCAGCATTTGCTTGCTTTTGGCCCCAGAGTATATAAACATAACCTACTTTAAAGACTTTAATATTAACTTCTATGAAAAAACAGACAGGGGTAACAGACTCTCAAATATCTTAAAACTCTTTTCCCTTATGTTTATAATACTGCTCTTCCCTGCTTCTCTTTCTAATTTTCAACAACTTTTACTTAACATCCTTTACTTCCTATATGGCTCTTAAGTGCTGGTGTTTCATCTTTCTTTTCAGTCCCCCTAGGGATTTCATCCATTCTAATGACACCAACTAGCAATAATTCCCAAATAATATCCCCAGCCTCTTACCTTTCTCTGGAACCCAAGATCCACATTTCCAATAGTTCCTGGACACCTCCAAGTAGATGTCTCCCAGATATTTTCATATCATAACTAGCAATATTTTTTAAGTTCATATATTTTAAGTTCCCAAACATTATGCCTTTAAATAAAATTTTCTCAAATAGCTTCTTTGGTTAATTTTAGTACATACTTACTGATGAACTATCAGATGAATCATTGTTTTTTTCATATTTCTGTTTCTTGCTCTTTTTTTTCTTCTCTTTCTTTGAATGCTTGTCTTTTTTCTTCGTTTTCTTCACAGAATGTTCCTATAAAAAATCATTTTGAACAGGTAAACAAGGAATTTAATTTTGTCTTACATTAAAAGAAAGCATTTTGAGGGAAAAAACTCATGTTCCAAAATACTTTAAATCTTTCATGAAATGAGGCAAAGAATATGACTAAACAAGTATAATCTTCCAAGAAACCATAACATGCCTCCTATAATATGTATACTACTAATAAATCATATAGCTGAGATTTCTTATCAGAAAAATATGAGGAAAATTTTGGTTTTAATTTATTTTTACATTCATGTGACACAAATATAACCAAATAAACACACATATATATATATACAAGGGTACTTCAAAAACTTCCTGGAAAGATTTGTATAATCTTTCAATTCTATTTTTCCACAAACTTTTTGAAGTACTCTTGTACAAAACATATCTGTACATACCTACATACACACACACACACACACACATAATAGCCCTCTATGGTCCCAAAAAAATTTATACAAGATTATTAGGCCATAAAGAAATAAAACAAGACAGCATTAATTAAAATTGTAGGAGGAGGCTGCAGTGGGGGGAGGGAAAAGGAATGGAGAAAGGGAAGATGGTGACTAAAGGGTACAACATATTAGTTAGACTGGAAAAATAGGTTTTAAAGATCCACTGTACTGCATGGTGCCCACAGTTAACAATAATGTATTATATACAATATTCCCCCCTTATGAGCAGGGTATGTGTTCCAGGACCTCCAGCAGATGACCGGAACAGCAGAATAGTACTGAACCCTACATATACGTACCTATGACAAAGTTTACTTTACAAATTACGCACAGTGAGAGATTAGCAACAATAATAAAGACAACAATTATAACAATATACTGTAATAAAAGTTATGTGAATGTGCTCTCTCTTTCTCAAAATATCTTGTACTGTACTTCCCCTTCTTGTAATAAAGGAGCAGAGAGAGATGGCTCAAGATTTCATCATGTTACTCAGAATGGTATGCAATTTAAACTTATAAATTATTTCTGGAATTTTCCGTTTAATACTCTCAGACTATGGCAGACCATGGGTAACAATAGATGGCGAGTAACGGAGACAGAGGAACATGAAACCATAGATAATGAGGGACTACTGTATTTCACATTGTATCCCACAAATATATACAATTATTATGTTAATTAAAAACAAATTTCAAATATTGCATGAAGAGAAAACAAGGCTTGAAACCAAAAAAATAATCAAGACATAAAGTTAAAATTTATAATTTGGGGGTTGGCTAGTTAGCGCAATTGGGAAACCATGGTGCAGATAACAACAAGGTCACAGATTCAGATTCCCATATCAGCTAGCTGCCCCCCACACAAAAATGTATAATTTTTTAGATCCATAAGCTTGCTATAAGTGGGACAAATATTTAAAGCTAAGCATTTTCACTGCACAAAAATGTATAATTTTTTAGATCCATAAGCTTGCTATAAGTGGGACAAATATTTAAAGCTAAGCATTTTCACTGCCAACTCAAGTAAAAAAAATCTTTTCAGTGTTATAATATCCAAAATATTATATTGTAACACTTCTGCCAGAGAGATAAAACTATTCAGTAATGCCAACTATGTGATATTCATTCCGTATCTTATGATGTCTATAAGCTTGTTCTTCTGATATTAACTTGAATAAGTACAAAAAAAGACAGATAACCTTACACCAAGTAGGCCTGTTAGTATTCACCTGTGAGAATTGTTCAATTCGCTCATTCACATCAGGTAGCATCCAGGTATCCTCACCCCGGAGTCGCTTAAGTTCTTTACGCCGTTCTTCTTTTTCAAAATTGGCTTTAGCCTGCAACAACAACAAAAAAGACAAACTGCCAATTGAACCAACTGCTTTTCACAAAAAAAGGCAAACAAAAACCTGTCCAGCTTTCACCTGCTTGTGAATGAACGGTCTGTTCCTTGCCAGGAATCTGCTTCTACCAGTGCACAAAGACAAAAACAAAAGCCCTCTCCTTCTGTATTACCAATCACACATTACCAATCTCCAGTGAATCGAGCCATCATTTAGGGTCAGAATCTTGGGACCTATTCTAGACCCTCCCCTCTCCCTAAACTCCCTACCTCAAATATGACTTGGAATCTCTTTTCTCTTCACCATCCCCATGGCTACTGCCTTAGACTTTAGACTGACCTCCATGCCTTCAATACGCATTGCTCATACCCCAGTATCCAGCCCCCCAAAATGCTTCAGGATGAATCATCTTTCTAAAAAGAAATTATCATATTGCTAATTTTTAATCATCCATCAACAATAATCAAATAAAGCAAAGTTTTTCCCAGAAGATTGTTCCTGCCCTCTCATTCTCTCTCCCAAACTCCAAAGCTGGGTTTGGTCTTTCTCAAACTCTATGAATATCTCTACTGTAAAATTTATCACAGCTTATATACCCTACTCTCTCCAAAAACTGCTTGAAACACCAAAGAGAGAAAGATGAAGAATATTTATTATACATGTATATTACATATGCTGAAATCTGGGAACAATACCAACCTTTCACCTGTCCAACTCTAACTGCACACTATTTCCCATTAAAATCTAGCGGTAGTCATTACCTCTTTCTCCCTTCTGTCTTCTCTACCTCTTCTCTACTGGCTCCTTTTCATCTGCATTTAAACTAGTTTAAGACTCTATCATCTTAAAACAAACACAAACAAAAACTCTCACTGAACACTGTTGCTCTCCAAGTACAACTTTTCCCTTTCATCGTCACACTTCTTATATACTGAATAAGCTGTCGCACAGTTCAATACGGTTACTTCCTCCATTCTTTATATGTTACCTCTATGCATTTCAATCTGAATAAGAAATACAGTGCTTTTCAACCTTTTGTGAAAGGCTAAATTTTCTGGGTCTCTAGTGTTAACTCCTGTTTGGATCAGTAAGGGCTTACGATAAAGTCTGGAATTGATACCAACAGTAAGACTGGGGAATGAAACATCAAATGAAATGACACAAAGTCTACTCAAACACGCCTTACATGTGTTACTGGAAAGAAAAAAAAACATTTCAGATAACAGCAGATGCAACGACAGGCTGGCAGAGTACCTAGGAAGTCCGCAGTCCCGGGATTAGAAATGTAAAAAAATGGATGACTCAGAAGGTAAGGGAACCTGGAGAAAAAGAAACATCATCCTGAAAAGACAATAAGTAACTGGAACCTGCGAGACTATCTGGGGGCGGGAGATACACATAAGAGTTTACCGGCATCGCAAAGAGAGACTCCACCCAAACAAGGTGGTGAGGGAAGGGGGGAGTGGGCAAGCTCCCGGGAACCCTCAACTCCCACAAATCTAAATTCCTACAAAAGCCCCCAACGGAGGTACCTGGCGCAACACCTCGGCTCTGGCAATCCGGGTCTGTTCTTTATGATCTTCGATACTCTTCGCACTTTCAAATCTACCACTGGCGGCCGCCATAGTTGTTGTCATCGTAAAGCCAGGAAGTCGTCAGGAAATCCCAGTTTACGACAGTCGTAATTTAATAAACAAACCTGAACTTCCGACTAGGGGGAGGAGGGTTGCTACTTCACCAACAGAGCATGCGCAGATCTGAATGCCGCTTAACGTTCCCCCGATGGTTCCAACTCCAGGTTTTCGTCTAGCGGGGACTTCCACCAAATTATCCACTAAACTATCCTTTTTCGTTTGCCTGTGCTGAAAACAAAATTTCTTTGAAGATTCAGTGTTTTGCTCTGGTGGATCTTTTTTAAATATATGAAATAGTCATGTGAATTTTGCCTTGTACTTCATATTTTATCCGTGCTTATTTAAATTGTTAGAAGTTTACATTTTGTTTTTCTCACCTCATATTATTTGCTCATACTTATCCATCCAAGCATTTTTTATTACAGTGAGCAATTACCTATTTATTTGTGTGGGGATTTTTTTATGTTTTGTTTTATATTTGTATCTGTCAAACAAAACTTTAAGATCCCTGAAGAATAAGACATTCTAAAGTATTTATCAAGTGCTTTGAGAATACACTGAGCTTATATTAGTAATTATATAAAAATAAAGAAGGCTGGGGAATACTTATAAACTAGATATCTTGAAGACACTAAAAAGAGTTAACACAAGCAAGGTTGAGGTAAATATTCTTTCTTTTCCGTTTTCATAAAATTGAATTTGTGTTTGCAAGAAGCTTTCCCAGGAGTTTCTATTTACCATTCTATGAAGGTCTTAACCTTGAGAACAATTTTTACTTGTTTGATATATCATAGAAAGTACTCATTGTATTTTTGTTTTAGAGAATTGAATTTTAATTTACTAATTGACCTAGGAATACTTAACCAAATGACTACTTTGATTTTGTCATAATTAACTCAACTAGTGTTAAAGACTTTTCAGATTCTCTTCGGATTCAGAAAAAACATCTATTCTCCCCTTTGTATCAATTACACAGCAGATTAAAACAAACAGTGGTTATAGTAGAAACTTGTGTGTTTTACTCCCTTCAGGCTGCTATAGCAAAAACACCAGAGATTGGATGGTTTATGAACAACAAACATTTCTCACAGTATTAGAGGCTGGTGAGTCCAATATGAAGGCACTGGCAGATTCTATGTCAGGTGAGGGCCGTTTTCCAGGTTCATAGATGCAGTCTTTTTATTGTGTCTCAAGGTGGGTAAGGGTGAGGGATCTCTCTGGGATCTCTTTTTTAAGGGCACTAACCCTATTCCTGAGGGTACCCATTCTGATGACCTAATAACCTCTCAAAGGTCCTACCTCCAAATACCCTTACATTGGGGATTAGGTTTCAACATATGAATTCTGGGTGAACACAAACATTCACTGTATAACGATGTACAAAGTTATATGAAGAAAACTTTAAAATCTTACTTAAGCCTCAAAAGCAGACTAGACCAAATGGAGAGGTATATGATATGCTTAAAGAAGACTCAAAATCATTAAAAAAAAAAACCAATTCTCCATAAATTAATTTGTAAATATATGCAATACCAATAAAATTACCAATAGAAAATGTTGGGGTCAGGGAGGGGAACTAGACATGTTAAAATAGACCCCCCCCCAAAAAAAATGGAAAAGCAAGTTGTTTAGGATAGATTTTCATTTGGTCACTCCTAATAGAAATCCAATCACACAGCTTAACCAAATAAGGGGTAATGTAATAAGGAGCCTATAAGGTAGCTGGTCCAGGTTTGGTGTAGTTGCTAAAGGAACCAGGTTGTTTCTTCTTTTTTGCTTTGTCACAGTCTGTGACTTTAGTTTTCATAGTCACAAGCAGGGAACTACATTCTTCTACATACATGCATAGCACCTATTAGACACAAAAATGAAGGGAAAGAGCAAAGGGTAAAAGGTGTATGCCAGCTGAGCCAACCCTGTTTTTTATTAGGAAAATAATGGCTTTCCAGCTAAGCCAACCCTGTTTTTTATTAGGAAAATAATGGCTTTTCCTAACTAAAGCTTACTCCAGTTTATCTCATTTAAATCTGTTGTGTTTTTCTTTTTTTTTTTAACCTTTACTTGTACATATTTCTGGGGTACAGTGTGTTGTTGCAATACATGCATATACACAACAACTCACTTAGGGTAGATAGCATAGTTTTGTACCCATTAGTTCACCACATCTCCCCCCCCACACACACCCCTCCCTCCCGACCTCTGGTAACCATGATTCTATTTTCTACTATGCGAACCACATTTTTTTTTTAGATTCCACATATGAGCAAGATCAAGTGGTATTTGCTTTTCTGGCCACTTCACTGAATTCACTTAACATGATGGTTTCCAGTTCCACCTGTGCGGCTGCACATTATAGGATATAATTTCTTTTTATAGCAGAATATTATTCCACTGTGTAATATTATGCCACAGTTTTTTAATTCATTCATCCGTTGATGGCATTTAGGTTGAGTCCATCTCTTGGCTGTTATGAATAGTGTTGCAGTGAACATGGGAGTACGGGTGTCTTTTTGATATATTGATTTCATTTCCTTCGGGTATATACCCAGTAGTGGAATACCTGGGTGGGAAGATAGATCTATTTTTAGTTCTCTGAGGAACTTCCATACTGTTTTCCACAATGGCTGTACCAATTTACATTCCCACCAACAATATAGGAGGGTTCCCTTTTCTCCATATCCTCACTAGCATTTGTTATTTTCCATTTTGTTTGTAATAGTCTTTCGGAGATGAGATGACATCTCATTGTGGTTCTAACTTGCATTTTCCTGATGATTAGTGATTTTGAGCATTTTTTCATGTGCTTTTTGGCCATTTGTATGTCTTCTTTTGAGAAATGTCTGTTCAGATCCTTTGCCCATTTTTTAATTGGGTTATTTGGTTTTTTGATGTTTGAGTTCCTTATATACTCTGGATATTAGTCCCTTGTCTGATGTATAGTTTGCAAATACTTTCTCCCATTCTGTAGGTTGATTCTTCATTTTGCTGATGGTTTCTTTGCTGTATGAAAGATTTTCAGTTTTAGGTAGTCCCATTTGTGTATTTTTGTTTTCATTGCCTGTGACTTTACAGTCTCCCTCAAAAAAGGGCTGCCCACTCCCATTTTGTGTAATGTTTCCCATATGTTTTCTTCCAATTTGGGGTCTTAAATTTAGGTTTTTTAATCCATTTTGAGTTGATTTCTTTGTAAGGTGAGAGATAAGGATCTAGTTTCAGTCTTCTGCATGTGGATATACAGTTTTCCTAGCATCATTTATTGGAGAGACTGTCCTTTCTCCACTGTGTATTCTTGGCGCCTTTGTCAAAAATCAGTTGGCTGTAAGTGTGTGTGTTTATTTCTGGTCTCTCTATTCTGTTCCATTGGGCTATTTGACTATTTTTATGCCCAGTACCATGCTGTTTTGGTTATTATTGCTTTATAGTATATTTTGAAGTCAGCAAGTGTGATGCCTCCGACTTTGTTCTTTTTGTTCAGATTACTTTAGCTATACATGGTCTTTTGTGGTTCCATACAAATTTTAAGATTGTTTTTTCTATTTCTGTGACGAATGTCATTTGTATTTTGATAGGAATTGTGTTGAATGTGTAGATTGCTTTGGGTAATACAGACATTTTGACGATGTCAATTCTTCCAACCCAAAAACATGGGATATCTTTCCATTCATTTGTGTCTTCAATTTTTTTCACCAGTGTTTTATAGTTTTCATTGTACAGGTCTTTCACCTCCTTGGTTAAATTTACTCCTAGGTATTTCACTTTTTGGTAGCTATTTTGAATGGGATTTCTTTCTTGATTTCTTCTTTAGCTATTTTATTATTGGCATATAGGAAGGCTATTGACTTTTGTGTGTTGATTTTGTATCCTGCCACATTACCGAATTCATTTATTATTTCTAGTAATTTTTTGATAATCTTTAGGGTTTTCTATGTATAGGATCATGTCATCTGCAAATAGAGATAGATTGACTTCCTCCGTTCCAATTTACATAGCCTTTATTGCTTTTGATTGCCTTATTGCATTGGCTAAAACTTCTGGTACTATATTGAATAAGAGTGGGGAAAGTGGGCATCCTTGTCTTGTTCCAGGTCTTAAGGAAAAGCCTTCAATTTTTGTCCATTCAGTATGATATTAGCTGTGGGTCTGTCATATATGGCCTTTATTGTGATGAGGTACATTCTTTCCATACCTAATTTATTGAGTGTTTTTATCATGGTAGGGTGTTGGATTTTATCAAACACTTTTTCTGTATCTATTGAAATGATCATGTGGTTTTTTTCCTTCATTCTGTTGATGTGATGTATCATGTTTATTGATCTGTGTATGTTGAATCATCCTTGCATCCCTGGGATGAATCCCACTTGATCATGGTGAATGATCTTTTTAACATGTTGGATTAAAACACATTGGATTCTGTTTGCTAGTATTTCATTGAGGATCTTCACATCTGTGTTTATTAGGGATACCGGTCTATAGTTTTATTTTTTGCTGTATCTTTTTTCAGTTTTGGTATGAGGTTAACGTTGGCCTTGTAGAATGCGTTTGGAAGTAATTCCTTACTCTTTAGTTTTTTGGAAGAGTTTGAGAATTGGTATTAGTTCTTTAAATGTTTGGTAGAATTAAGTAGCGAAGCCATGTGGTCCTGGGGTTTTCTTTGTTGTAAGATTTTTTATTACTGCTTCAATGTCATTACTTGTTATTTGTCTGTTTAGGTTTTCTAGTTATTCATGATTCAACCTTGGTAAGTTGTATGTGTCCAGGAATTTATCCGTTTCTTCTAGGTTTTCCACTTTCTTCACATATAGTTGTTCACAGTAATCTCTTATGATCCTTTGTATTTCTGTGGTATCAGTTGTAATGTCTCCTTTTTCATTTCTGATATTATTTATTTGAGTCTTCTCTCTTTTTTTGTCATTAGTCTAGCTACAGATTATCAATTTTGTTTGTCTTTTTGGTAAACCAACTCTTTGTTTCATCATCTTTTGTGGTTTATTTAAATCTAAAATTCATTT